ACTGCTCGTTGCCGTGTGCAAATGATTGCTTTAAATTCAGTCTCTTAATTATATGAGGTGCAATGTATTTTTTAATTCTTGAACCTTGAACCGACAAGTTCACAGAATACATTTTACATAACAAATTGAGTGAAAGACTCTTGATAAATGTATATCCCCGAGCGTTCCTAAGTGCCGCGTATAATTTCTTAAAAACATGTATCGTTTTCCTCAAGTCGCATGTTTCACAAGCAGACAATTGAACATTACTGTAAAAATTGTTCCAATCATATATCGCAAGCTCCTTGCCGAAGATATGGGCCCACCAACTATATCAAGATCAAATAATAGTTTTTTTAATTGCACTCGCGTACGACAAACAATAACAAAATACCAATCACGATGATTCTCCGGTGAATATTCGGAAATTATCAAATTTGATATATATTATCCTGAAAAACTTTAGCTTTTTCGCGGATGCATATTTACCGAGACTCCTTTGTTATTTTTCAATGCAGTGTCTACCATTTTTCAGACAGAGTTCAAAGTTCACACGGTACATGCTTGTCCGACGCATTGACAATCTCAAAGACAACTCGCTGCGCAGGAAAGACGCGTCGAATCAAACGGTACGCTCTCGTCGATTCTGTAAATGCGTTCCTCCTGCGGGCAAGTCCCCCCCTCACCCGCACCCCCCCCCATTGCCGGGTAATCGCAATTACGTACATCTAACGAGGCCGCGACGCGGTGGAGACTTTTCTCACGGCGAAATACGCGTTCGCTCAGGTCGTGCGCGATCCGATCCGATTGCGGCGATTAATTGTTCTTCGGTCGATCGGCGACCGGTTGATAGCGGCAGCGGCGGCGGCAGCCTCCGCGCCGATCCTCGAGTGCATCTCTCTCTAGAGCCAATCAGCCGCCGAGAGTCTCCGGTGGCTCGAGTGGAGGCGGCCGCGCGCAGCGCAGCGCAGCGCAGCGCAGCGCAGCGCAGGCCAGTGCAGCGCAGCGAGAGGGCCACTCGAGAGAAATTGGAACGCATCCCAAAGTATATATACGCAAGCAGACGGCGCGAGAGAGCGGCCCGACACTCTCGAGACGGATCGTCCGCTTTGAACCCCGATGCTACCGCAACCACGCGGCGGCCCCGAAGACGGACGATCGTTTATGGAGCTCGATACTCAATCAGTCTTCCGCGAGAGCGACCGGAGACGTCGCGCGCGCGCTTCCCTCGGCTCGCGCATTATTCGAGTTTGCGTACGCGCCGCCCGCCGAATACGCGGCCCGATTAGTTCCCCGCGCCGCGGGCGACTCGCGGCTGATCAAGGTGCGTGCACGCGAGGGTGTCGGTTATTTATAGAGAGAGAAAAAGAGAGAGACTAATGTGCGGAAGTGGTAAGTTGAACGCGATCGCGTGAAAGGGAGGGTGAGAGGAGAGGAGAGAGGGAGAGGGAGAGAGAGAGAGAGAGAGAGAGAGAGAGAGAGAGGGGGGGTTACTTCCCTCATAGAAGCGGTGTATAAAAGTCCATAAATCACTCGCGCTGGCTCTCTCAATGTCAAGACGCGGCGGAGCGGCCGCGTCGCTTTATCGCCGCTCGGGAGAAACGAAGAATTCCCGAGTAAAACGCGCGCGCGGATCCTTCGGGGTATGTATAGGTACGGCCGCAGTGTCGTCATTGATGACCGCACTCCGGCAGAGAGGCCAAAGCCACCGCGCTTCCAGGTGGTTTAGCAGTCAAGGACGACTTGGGCGTCGAGCGAACCCATTTATCAGCATCCACGGTCCTGCCGGAATCCGGGATGCTCGATCTTAGGAGGTCGCCGCCATCGGAATGACGCTGCCATCTCGACAGGATCAACGTGCTCGGCAAATATCGAGACTAGCCGGCGGAGGCGGAGGGCGGCAGGAAAAGGATTCGGCTGTCGCGGAGGGAGGGACAAGGGACGGGGGGGATGATCGCGAAGGTGAAATACACGCGAGTGGATTTATGCGCGGGCATTCGAGGCGACGCGACGGGCTGGGACGCTGAGAAGGTACAAACGATTTCCGGTTAATCTCTGAGAGGACAGCATGCCGAGGTCACACATGTGGAACATCGCCAGCGAGCGAGAGAGAGAGAGGGAGAGAGAGAGAGAGAGAGAGAGACAGAGAGAAGATGGCGGTATACAAAACAGACGAGTTTCACGTCGTCGGTCGAGGCTGAAGCGACCGGCCGGCCGGCCGGGCCAGTAAGTCCCTGCTCCTCGTCCCTCTAATCCTACATTGGCAAGGCAATTAACTCCGAGCGGGCATTGAGATCTTCCGGCTCAGACATCTGTGCCTGTTGGTTCGCATTCTCCTCTCTCGCTCTCTTGCCCTCTCGGTATTCTCGTTCTCGCGACTACGACGACTACGACGACGACGACGACGACGACGACGATTCCGCAGCGGCGTGTAATATCGCGGGAGGTTGCTTAGCGAGAACTGTGTCTGCGAGGGATCACAATATCCTTCCATTCGCCCGGGGGTAGCATCCGGCTGCCGCCACTTTGCCTTCTGCAGCGACCGGAAAGATAATCAAACTTCTTACCGGCGCGCGCGTGTGTTGGCGCGCGCAAGTGCGCGCACGCCGAGGCTCGTTCCTTCCCCCCTCCCCCGGATCTCTCTCTCTCTCTCTCTCTCTCTCTCTCTCTCTCTCTCTCTCTCTCTCTAGGATTCCTCTTTCTCTCTATTTCGCTCTCCCTCTTTCATTCCTCGGCCCACCACCCTCGCGTCCATTTTCCCGTTCTTCCACCCGGTATCGCCCCCCCGCCCCCGCGAATCTCGACTTAGTTATCTGTAACTAAGCTAATCTCAGCCGAGGAGTCGAGCCGGCCCGACAACGCAACCCCTCTCGCAGTCGCTTCTATTCTCCGTCCTCTACCCCCCCCCCGCCTCCTCGCTCTCTTTCTCTCTCGCTTAAACACGAGTCGGACCGATCCCGCCAAAGCCTTCAGACTCCCCGCACTAATCCAGACTCTCAAGGTTGTATATGTACGCGGATCGACGTAGTCGTACGGCTTGCGCTCCTCCTTGGCCCTTGAAGACCGACAGCCATCGATGGCAAAAGCCGTGATTTCCGCGGACGAGTTAACGGTCGGCTACTTTTATCCCGGGCGATCCCGGGCGCCGCGCCGCGCCGCGCCGCGCCGCGGGCGAGATCGCGTGGCCGCTGCTTCTCCTTTGCTAACCTTTGCAAGGAAGATCCGGGGAATCGTCGCGGCCGCGACGGCGGAACTTCTCGCGAAACTTCTTTCGCCCGGATAATTCCCCGAGCCGGAAAAAGCGTCGTCGTTTAATCGCGCAAGCCGCGAAAAGCTTGTCGTGGATTTTCCACGGCGACCCGAAGCCGCGGCGAACGCAGAATTTAGGGTTATGAGAGTATCGCTCTCCGCTCCCCCGCGGAAGGAGCCGGACGAGAGCAGTTTAACGCAATAGACGTTCCTTCAGCTCGGCATTTCGATCCATCGTTATATCAATAATCCGATATTTCTCGGATAAAGCGAAGCAGTAGCGCTGCATAATCCGCCATAAACGAGGGTGCGATATTAAGAACCATTAGAGAAGCCGACGCTCCGGAACAAATGCTCTTTGACGAGCTACGCTCGAAGGTAAATCAAGGAACGTTCAGTTCCCAGCAAGTATCAGCTTCGCCATGGGGGAGAGCGGCAGGACGGGTGTGGGGGAGCGGTTGAGGAGAGTTGAGGGAGAGAGCATCGATTGCTTCGTCGAGGGTTGAAAGGACTTGATTGGTGATACGGATCGCTACCTTGCGAAACAGAATCCCGTGAAATCTCAGATTCTCTTGCGCGCGCGCGGTCTGTCGCAGAAAAAAAACGCGACGAATTGTGCAAATCGAATGAGCAGCGATAATGGCGGAATTAACGATCCGACGTCGAACGCACAGACGCGACGTTTAATCGCCGCATTAACGTTAATTATAAGCGTATCGGTCGTTACGTGTCCGCTGATTTGGTGAACTTGTCAGCTGCATGCGTAATCTCGCGCACCGATCGATTATTCGCGTCGACATTTGCAATCCTTGTCGGTGAGGCATTAAATTTCTTATAAAGGAAGCAGAGGGAACGATCATTCCCTCTACTCGTCGGGTGAGATCCGCGGTAGAAATTGAATTAGTCTCACCGACACGATCGCGTTTACTTAATTCAATGTTTTTTTTATCCTTTTTTTTTTCGCGTCGCGTCCACTTCGATCAACGTCGACGGTATTTATCTCGCGGGACGATTCCATCTTGGTCCTCTGATTCCGCTCGTCTCTTCTATTCTATTATTTTTTTCTTACTTTTAGCTAATCCTTCTTTTCGGCATTCGACGGTACGCCCGACTTTCATCTCGATACCCTGTCCAACGTCAGTCGTGATTATTTTGCGGAGTGATCTCTGGATCTTAACGGCGAGATTTCGAACTTGCGAGAGCAAAAATATACCCCAAAGACGCGGCCGCGCTATGGTCTCCGAAGAAATGTAGTTCATCGCATGATCCGCTAATTATACCGCATATCGCCTCAAATACTTCGCCGCATCGCGTACGTACGGCACAGTTAAAAGCATCCCTGATAATTTTGCCTGCATTAAGCGGGATGCATAATTTAAAGCGGACGGTTTTAATTTCGACGCACGTCGTCGTCGATACCGTCGGTCGACTGTGTTCGCGGCGCATAAGTGTTCGCCTCGAAATATGACGGCGTAATGGACGTGACAGTTCGCATTTCTGTGCCGTTGCGTATTATGCTTAATCCGCCGGGATTCCCGATGTGACTCGTAATGCATACTTAAATGCATTTCCTTGCTTGCGACCGAGTATCGCTAACGTGTTTCAGTGCTTACCGAGTTGCCGTCGCTCTGGCGCGAATTATACCCTTTCTTTTCTTCCTCTTTATCATATTGCGTTATGCAAATCTCGCGCCATTATCGCGATCACCGGCCGTAACCGACCTTTCGTATATTTATAATAGCACTCAAAGAAGTGGAAGCCAAGTCATTGCTGTTCGAACCGTCGAACGATTAACATAACCGCGAATACGCGTAACTCGGTGCATCGTTCGTCGTGATAAAAATGTTTTAGTCTCTATCGATCTTTGAGATATTTATCGCAACCCTCGCGTTGCAAACGTCGTGTTAGTGAACACGTGTTGCTCTGCTCGGATCTACTTAAGCATCAGTACGAATGAACGTTTGAAGTGACAATTGTAGGACAAAGTTCTAGTGATCGGAAAATCAGAACGCATTTCCAGGTAAGACAGATCCAGGTGAAATCGTTTGTTATACAAAGTGCGCCAGAAAGATAGGTATCCCGGATTAACTTAAAGGGATGACGTTTTTGGAAAAAAAAAACACAAAAGTTAAATACAAAAGGTTTGGGGTTTGGAAATGGACACCTAGCGCTGAACTTGACTTAAGGATCAAATTTAAAGGTCAAATTAACAACAACTTTAAAATCGTAAACGGAAACTCCCTTTTTTATTATACTATTTTTTTCCATTTTTTTCCGATTAATTTGAGCAACTTTTGTCTGAAACATTTTTTATTTGCTTAATATTTTTTGAGATATTTATGGAAAACTTGGTAACTTTTTCAATATTTAGCTTACTTTGTCTCGGTAATTATTGATTATTAGTAACTTCATGATTTGGAAACTTCCAAAGGTCACCTCTAATTACTCGTGTATCCATTTTGTTTATTTTATACAGCGAGAATTGTTTAGATCATCAGTAAGAAATATGTAGATAATTATTTGTATTTCTGAAACTATTTACGATGACATTAACCTGATGGATGTGTGCTACAAAATTGCGTGTCTGAATAATAGTTCAAAGGATTTTAGTTGTCACTTTATCTTTAACCCTTTGCGGACGAATTTTTCTTTAACTCCAATTCCCAGTAAGTCGAGCATATTCTCTATACAAAACAAAATTACACATAAAGACTTAAATATTGGAATAAAAAGATAAAGAAAAATATATATTGCTTTATGAAAATCTTCGCGAATAATTTCGCAATGCCTTAAAGCATCGCACGGCTTTCTGAGGAGTACACGTAGCGATGACTATAGTCATCTCACGGACTTAGAAGGTTAATTGTTCTAATAATACTCTTTCAATTGCAGAGACACTAATAATACTCTTTCAATTGCAGTAGAAAAAACATCGCGTACATATGTGCTAATCTGACGTTGTTTATGTAATATTCATCAATTTTTTCTTCAAGTTTTTTGAAAACCTATTTCTGAACGAAACGCAATACAAGCGAATACTATTATTGAACATATAATGGTCATCTTTATTCTCGAGATATTTTCCTTTTCAACCATTTTCCTTTGAATACCTTTGAATATTGTAGAGAGAATTTAGTGTCAAACGAGAAAGAAGAAAAATGAAAAAGAGAGAGATTATCACGATAAAAATATATCAGTCTGTTTATCTATTATTTAATATTCTATTTAATATTCATTAGATTATCTAATATTTGCTCATTTCACATATTACGGCTGAATAAATAGCGCTATTGATATATTATTTATTCAAATTTAGAATAAATATTAAATGTAGAATGGAGAGATAATGAAATATATAAATATCGAATAATATTTGAGCAAGTTTAAGCCTTAATGCGGAGAAAACGGCATGAATGGACAATTGCGATATAAGGCTAAGACAACACAGTGCTATATTTTCGAGATATTCTCCATTGGTGGTTTTTTCCACCGTTTTTGAACGGAATTTGCAGATTTAATGTGGAAGCAAAATTTCGTGTCGGGCTATGTACCCTTGGCGGATTAAACGCGAGATCCTTTTAAAAAATGCAGCGAGTCATTGGCGTGCTCGTCGTGACCCAAATACTTCTTTTCCATCGACCAGCCGCGGTCACTTACCGCTCGCAATATTACGCCCGACGAATTTTCTGCTTCCACCGATATAAATCGCGTTAAACACGATCCGGAAGTACCCTTGAGCTTCGCGCGAAGCGACGGCAGGATAAACTGCCGATGGGAAACAGTAATTCCGTTCAAACGCCTTTAAACCGGTTTATATTTTTAAATAAATAGCCGGTGCGCGCTCGCACGGTGTAATTGCAAGCAATCATCTTCCGACGGAGCTTGAAACTGATATTCTCAAAGGATGTTCTCGGAAAATCCCGGGAATCCTCACTCTCGGAATTCAGTGCAAACATTTCGTCAATTCTGATTCCGACTTGCGCGATATATATTTGACATGTATCCGGAATCCTCTCGGGAATAAAATTTTGTTATCAACAGAAACGCGCGTGTGTGTGTCTTCTATGTTCGATTTTCGACATCTACGCCCGTGTAGAACGAGAAACACGTGACATTATGATTCGGGCCTATCGGAGTGTCTACCCAATGCAGCGGATGTAATCTGCAGCAGCAAAATAGTCTGCATGACACAGATACGAATGTCGCAATGACGTTCGTCGATGCGAAATCCAACGACTGATCTCCAACCGGTGACAGCTACAATCGCGTATGAAAAAAACAGCGCAACCGGTTTCAACGCGGTGCGTGCGCATAACGCTTGCCGACTGGAGCGGAAATTTCCCCAACGCGCGAGTCCGCGCCTTGGAACCAAATTTCTCAACAAACTTCGCGTCATCCCCCATCCTCGTGCAACCCTTCGTCGCCTCTGTCTATGGAATGCGAAATCGTCCGACCAAGATGCGAGCGGAATACAACCCCATACTCGGAAAATATCACAAAGAAATGTCCCTGCGCCGACATCCGTCCATCGCAAAACCTCCCTCGCGCGACGCCACGTCACGCACTTCGCCCGAAAATTTTCACCCCCCGCCGTCACTCGTCCCAGGCTTCCCGCCGGCTAATTTTTCACGCGGACATTTTTCACCCACCGAACACACCGCAACGGCGTCGACAAAGGCGCGCAGATCCGGCGATAATCAGGCGTCGCGATAGAGAGGCCGATAATCGATAGACTTTGCGGGCGACGCCAAGACTGCGCGGGCGATTTATGCGACGTTGACGAGGCGCGCATGAAAGACAGCGACGGGACGGGAGGCGGGAGCGGGTGGTTACAAGGGAGGCAAACTACTCCACAGTCCCGCGGTTCGAGGGGCTGGGATATAACCGAGTGACCGAGTGGAGTCGAGGTGAGAGCGCGGCTGCGGCGAATTGGCGGCCGAACGACTCGACTCGACTCGACTCGGCCGAGTTCGGGGGTGGCTCGGCGAGGGATGGCGTCTTTAAAACTCGAAGTGAGTTAATTTGATTATCGCTATAACGGCGGCAGCAAGGGGGAAGAGAGGGCGGAAGAACGAGAGAACGAGAGACAGACAGAGAGAGAGAGAGAGAGAGGGGGGGAGCAGAGGAGGAGAGGAATAATCCGGCTGTATAACGACGACGGGCCTAGCCATTGCCGTCGACGTTTCCATTGTACGGCTACGATATCGCACCCCCCCCCCCTGTAGAAGGAAACAGACGGAAGGGTGGCGGCGAACGGAGAACAGAGAACGGCTATACTGATTGGCCTCCAGCTGGGGCAGCAGTAAACATTCTCTCGCCTTCCCGAGGCTGCTGCCGAAGAGGGTTGCCCTCTCGCTCCCTCTCTCGCCCACCCTCGCTCGGCGTCTCCGTTCCGCTCGCACCCATGTGGCGCTCTCCGACCCTCTTCCACCGCCTCCTTCTCTTCTCGGCCCGCCGACGGTCTCTCCCACCCACCCTTACGAGCTTAAGCCCGATTTAATGGGGTGGAAACGCGCGGCTCGATCAAGTTGTATTCAATTATCCCTCCTCTCCGTCCCCCAGCCTCTCCCGGGCTATCTACAGAGTGTCTCGCAAGAAAATTCCCTCCCTTTCTACGTGCCCTTTGGCCCCCGCAATCCGGTCTGCTCTGGACACGCAGGACGTATAGTCGCCCCGCTGGGAGGGGGAGGAGCGGCCCAAGGTCGATCTCGGGGGGTGACAAGGATCCATTTAATCCGGCCGGTAGTCGCCCGATCGAAATCGCGGCGCGTGTCGTGCGGTAAGAAACGAGTAACGGCTCTCAGCCCACGGTTTAGCCAAGATTTCGTACGGTTTAACGGTCGCGGGATTAACGTACGAAAGGACAATACCGCCCCCCCCCTCTCCCGGATGATCGAGCAACTTTGGTCCTGCGCGACCTCTGAGCCGCTCGTTGTTTTTAGAGCGCGACTCGCGACGCTTCGCTCGGCTGTTTTCGAGAAATATCGGATCGGTTAATGTCTGGAAGATGTATCGGGGGAGAGCGCAAGGATAATTACGTTCAATTAGTTGTTTTGCAATTTCGACACAATGAAAGTAACGTAATCAAGCGGCACAGATAATTCGGCGATGATTAAAGACTATGCGTCTCGTCTGTCGCTCCCGTTTCGATATTCCTCGAGTGGGCGGAACTTTGTTCCCCTTTGTACGCGGCTGTTTCTCTTACGTCGTCTGGATAATACAGAGCAGTGTCTCTGCTTTCGCAGGGTTTCGTCCGAAAATCATCTTTCGCGATTCAAAGGATCGCCAATCGGGGCTCTTGTTACCGCTTCGGCTCGATCGATTGTCACTCAGATGCTCGAGACGTAATTATACGGCCGGCAAATGCTGAAATACGCAAATCGGACGAGCGTGACCGGAACTTTAGATCAAGACGCATCAAGATCGATCAAGGTATTATTAACGAAGACTCGGCCCGCAACGTTCGTTCTCGTTCCGCCGCGGCGCATCGACGGAACTCGCGCGGTAGAAACCGCGATTAAATTCGCGAACCGCGCGTTGCCGTTTTACCATCCTCTCGGAGCGTTCTCCTCGCTTTTTCCCGTAGCATTTGCGGTATTGTCCCGCTCTTGTAATTCGTTTTACTACAACTACGTTGTCTCGCGCGGTCTCCTTCCTTCACCTTTGCTCGTCCCCTCCGATCGATTCTCGTCTACCCCGCGTTTCGTTCGCGAAAACAAACGCGGCAAATTTTGCAAGCGCGGCGTTTGAAAATTCACAATCGCCATTTCCGCGGATTATCATCGCACGGGGGGGGTGGAGGCGAGTACTCTGCTGCTCTCCTGAAGCTCGTCGGTTGAGTCAAACTTATCGAGCTCGCTGTATGAGGGTAGTCCCAGAAGTACCTGACCTGACGTATAGATGGTGGTTGTTGTTTGAAAAGAATGACTATGGAAGAAAGTATCGACCTTATGAAGCTTAAGTTTGATGTTTGACGACGCTACGTTGTTTAGTATTTGATTGGCAGCCATCAATAGTGAA